AGCAGGAAGCAGCACTAAAAGATGTGTGAAATAAATCAGAATCAAGCAGAATTATTAGCTTTCAGACAGTACCACTTATCAAAGAATACACTGCCATCCTGGCAGTAGAATCAATTAATGCAGGCTGTATAAAGAAACCAGGTCTTTAGTATTAGTAGAAATACAGTTTTCATTTTCTTTCACCACATCTAAAAGGATCCCAAACTGCTTAGAGATAAAGAACCAAAACTGAACAACTGTCCTGTGATAGACACACTGTTACTAATGGAAAGTAGAGCAGAAGCATAAGAATAAAATAAGAATGAGATGGATACTTCTACATTAGTGTTGTCTAATGTACAATCTTTAACACAATATTTGTTAACAATTCTCAAATACACTGATGCACAAAATCAATATATAATACTTAATAGAATTATTGATTTGTTAATATCCTTATTTAATACCAGTGAATAGGAATAGGTGAGGGAATTCTTTAGCTACTTGGGACTCATCATCACTCTGCTGCCTACACTTCACTGCATATCAGAATGTCATGATAGCAGAGTGCAGAATATTCTTTTTCCCTTCTCTACAAGCACAGAACCCAGCTGCTTGAGCTGATGAGAAACGTGCTTGGTGACAAACTAAAGAGCAATGTGAATTCTGTCATACAAGGAGGTGCGCAAGCAGCTCACTATATTTGAGGTTCAATAAAACAAAACAAACAAACCAGGAAAAAATCCAAGTATTTAACATTAAACCTCTTAAGGTTCTTTTTGTGCAACCTTCTGAAATGAAAACATTCTCTATTGGAAATTCTATATGACCTTTTAAAATGAAAGGTAATGCCATTTCAATTTTTCCCCAGAGCTGCTATGATCAGCTCGAGCTGTTCTTCACTTCAGTCTTCTTTCTCTTCCTCTCATTTTTCCCTCCCCATTATCCTTTGTCATAAAAGAAGAATAGAAATAAAGAACAAAGTATCAAAACAATGAAAAAAATATATTTGCTTTTCTGTTGGAATATAGAGATGTTCAAAAATAAATGTTAAAATATCCAACTTTACAGTAATTCTTAATACAAAGCTGGGAAAAAAAGGTCTAGTTTAGTGACAGCAGTTATTTATTTAAGGTGATGCTGTGTTGTCACTGGTCTTGTTAAAAAGCTGTTCCGTACTGAGTGGAGCTATTCACTGGAGGGTTTAGGAACAACTCAGTATAAGGACTTGAAAACTGTCCCTTAAGAACTATTATGATGAAGCACTGCAATTTGCTTTTCAGCATGGGCTTGAGGATTTATCATATGGATAGTGGATAAATCTGGTCAGGAGAATCATCTCAGACCCAAATTTAATTTACAGTATAGACATACTCAAAGTACTATGACCTCATCCAACTTCAATAATAATTTTGCAATTACAACATGACAGGGTAAAAATGACAAAATTGAAATTTCTTTAACAATGTTGATTTGTTTTGCTTTAGTAAATATACTATGTTTGGGTTTGCCTCAAGTCCATGCCACATAAGTTTGGGAGAGTGTTTTGATACCACTTCTGAACGGGGAAGAGAGATCAGTGTTTATGAAAATGAATTCTATTTCTCTGTGTTAAGCCAAGTAGATTTGTACACACACCAAACAGCCTGGTATATATCAGAATAAGAAAACTTTGAATTGGTTATGGCAGACTTAATCCTTATTGGTAGTAATTCAGTAATCCTTATCTACAAAGTTGTTTTGCTTACTGTCCTGCATTTACTCAAAAAGCTTTTCCATCATAGACTTCTACAGTATCTCACACTATAAAAATCTTTACATCTTGAAGACTTCAACTGCAATATATATGGATTTAACCCAGCTCCATTTGGATTCACTAAAACTCATTTTCATCAGACAGCTGTAAAATGAAATGAGTTTGGTGGTCTGTACTGTAGACTTTATTGAATGATAATACTTACCACAAGTAGCAAGAGGTTGCTTAGAAAGGCCATAAAAACACTCCTAACAATTTTAAATTACTGCGTACTCTATCAAAATAAGGCATGACAGAAAGCTAATCTACTAATGGCTGAGAGAAAGATGAGCAACTTCTGTTTCTGTGTTCACTTACTTATTGTCAGTGAGGTATTTGTTTTTGCTGAGCTTAAACTTATTATTAAAAATGACATTTAAATGGCATGTTGTAATGCTCACAGACATGCAGTTGTTCCTTTAGAAGATCAGGCTTCAGATCTTTTTAAACTACTTTGATCGGGAAATCAAGCTGAAAAGTGTGGAAATAGCATTTCTAGAAAGATACTTAGAACCCCTCCATTTCATCTGAATCTAAATCTCCTGCTGCCATGCAGTAGGGTTTGAGCCACAAACATGGAATATAGGAAGGAAACCATTCCAAGAAGCTCTCTGAAAAGCAGATATTGTTGTTTTATTCTTCAAGGGAAAGGCCCACCTTAAAGATCTGTTCCAACCTAAATGATTCTATGATTCATATTTTTCTGAATATGTGGGTTTTCTCTAGCATTACATTTTGGACAGTTGATTTATAATGCTGCACAAAGTATTTACAGACAATTCCCTTTTTCACTGTTTTCAAGGCCTTTACTGTCCTCAATCTCCATCCTTCCTGCAAGACAGGCGAAGTATTATCTGTGGGTCCTGCTAGACAAACTGAGGCACCGGGGCCCCTGGTGGAGGGTGACAATTGATTAGGTGCTGTCTCAATAACTAACTGGGGAAACAGTAAAGAAACAAATATTGACAAAGAACGAAGAAGAAAAACCATAAGCACAAAGGTCTGTAAAAGCAGAGCCTTACCATTTCCATGTAATTCAGAAGGGCATCTCTGTTTTCATGCCAGATTGTAAACAGTTCTTCCTCCAAAGGAAACTTTTCACATCCTACCTCCACGGTAACTTCAAAGCAATTCGTGTGAAGGTAATTAAAATCTGCCATACCTATAAGGTTTAAAAAGAACAAGGAGAGATCATGAACAAGCTGTGTAACCTTTAACTGGAGCTTTGTTGTTGCAGTCAGCTGAATGTGACCCTTGTGGGTGTGGATTAATATATCGTAAAGAACATGCATGGCCAATATATAAAAAGTATTCAACAACTTCAGAATGCTACAACTCATTTCAACTATGAATTAACTAATGACAGTGAGACTTCTCACAGGTGAAAATCATAATTTTGAATTATTATTCACCTGACTAAGAAGTAGTGATAGAGAGATAAGGATTGGTTAATCATGGTAATTGGATAATCAGCTGTATCAGAGGTGATTGCCAAGGGTCACTGGCAAAGAGATGACCTTTTGCCATTAGTATGTTCAAAACTGTTTCTGTACAAAAGACATTGGATATAATTTTCAGAAGAATGTAAGCCTGAGATATTTAAACCTAATTTTCACCCATGCCCTAAAGCTCTCTAAATGCCTAATTTCAACATAATTATTTAGGGGTCCAGCTGAGTCCTATTTGAAAACACAACTGAAGCACTGCTGAAAATCTTATGAACACTGATATTTCACCCATGCCAGTATTTCAGGAATACTGAAGAAAACTATTTTGGGGAAATCAAATTAACAATCTAAGCCCAAATGAATGGGATGTTTGTTGTAGTTTTTCCTGAAAAAGGTTTCATTTAAACTGCACTTGCATACTCTGCAAGATGGATTCAAATTCATGCTGCTAAGGAATGAGAGTAGAGCGTTAAACATTTCAGATTTTCATTTATTTCCACATTTCAGATTTTAAAACTAGAATGATATTATATGCAATAAGAAATTTGACCCCTGTATAACTTGTTAACTTTTCTTAGGTCATTTCAAGGCTGAATACATTACATCGTGTCCAAATAGAAATGTTACCAACATACATTTTGCTGCTTAAATCCCTTCCAAGTTAGTTTTTGCAGTTTTGCAGTTTTGACCTAAAGCAATCTGAAATGAATAAAATTATTTCTTTCAAACCCTTGTGTCTCATAAAGGTCATATAGAGGTTTTACCTCACTTGATATGATGGTAAAGTGGTTTTACCTCCAGTGAAGCTGTACCACTCAGCACCATTTATAATACCTCCGCGTTTTACAAAATTTCCACCGCAACGAAGTTCAGATCGGTCTGAGATGACTGGATGTGCATCTGCGTAGGCTTTAGCCAGCATTTTAAACATCTGTAACAAAAGGGTTTGAAATAAATTTGCTTTTACAATCCATAAAGACCATTGCTGCTAGCAACCGTTGCTATTGCGAGCCCAGACAATGAGGCACCCCGCATCCTCAAGGCTGATGGAGGGGTTGAACCTCCATGGAAGGATATTCTGCCAGGAAGTTTTCACTTGTTTTCTTCTCCAAGGTCCTTCTCTGCAATCCAATATATTTAGCCAGAGATAACATTAAATACCAGTGGATTTTGTGATAATTGGCTTCAACTTATAACCTGGAGTAGGAGTAGAGGGCTTGTTTGGTTGTACTTCAAGTCCCAGGTTTTAAAGCTGAAATTAGCTCTCCCCACTATGTTTTAGCTCTTGCTATTTTTACCTTTTCAAAAATACCTACACCAGCCTCAGCCCAACCAGATCTTTGCATTGGCCACTGCTGTTTAAAATAGACAGTGTCAATTTACTTTGCACTTATCACTCACACAGGACAACCTGCCAGTTTGATCTCAATGACAGTTGCCTCTTTGTGGGGCAGAAACCATTCCTAAAAAGCGAAAGATAGGATGTGGTGATGGAGGATGTCACCACTGATTTCCTAAGAGTGTTGATACTGATGAAGAGCAGAGGAGTCACCACTCAGAGAGGAAAAGTGACAGGTACATGTAGTGAAGACAGAAGAAACAGCAGCAATCTGCAGAAACCATTTCTTCAAATCAGGTTCCTGCCATTTTTCTCCAATGTTTATTCCAAATTTGTAGAGAAATCCCCCCTTCTCCTTTTTGTCTATTTGAACCTCATGTACAAAAGCTATAATTTCAGATTTCAACACTGAAATGACAGCAATTATGAGGTGCTACTAGATCCTACTACTCAGCATCATGAGTTTCTTGCATATTGCTGAAGACAACATGTGCAAGAATTTGCGTAGTTAAATCCTATTTTTAGCAGTGATCCTAAAACTTTATCCTTTATGTTGTCATCAAGGATAAAGACCAAAATGATCAAGCACACAACTTTAAATCTAATATTTATGAATGTTTCTAATAATCACAAATCTGAGCCAATTATGGAATCAGGTAAGTGACCGAGGAGAGGTGGAAAGAGAATGATATGCGTCAAGACAATTTACCAAAATACTTCTGATGACCAGACACTAGAAATCCTGACTTAGCATAAAATGTGTTTGCATTTTCCTTGAGTTTCTATGTGTCTAACTATTGCTCAGCCCAGACAATTAAGTCTCCTTCAAAGTTCTGTTGGAAAGAAGAACTTTTACTGCCAACAGTTTGGGGCCAGGCCCGATATCATTAATTTCTACAGGAATTTGGGTCCCAGTTCTGAACCTTCTGTGGAAGATATTTGCTAAAAGTTTAGAAGGTGCCTATGTGACTCAGGAGTGTTCCTCACCTTTCCCAAAGACATCTGCAGATGTTTCATTTCCAATGACCGAGTCTTTCTTCTCTTGTTTCATACTAAGAGGCATAAGGCTTTTGCCTGGCCACTGGTGCAAGTGCACGAAGATGGGTGGTAGTGGGAAGAGAAAGTAAGAAATCCCAAATCAAGTGAACATGATTTTTTTAAAAAAGTTAAACTTTTTTAAAAAAAGTTAAAATGTGCTCAGATAACAATACATTTATAATCACTTAGCAGCTAAGGTATGACTAGTCATGGACCTCCAAAAACTGTAGACATTAAGGTGTAATACAGAGGAACAAAAAGGGAAAAAATCATGGAGGAATCCTTGTGACTTTGGAAGCATGATGCTTCATTTGGTAAATGAGGTCAGTGCTGTTACCTTGGCCAGCACTTTTACCCCACTGACTGTCACAGGATGGGATTTTCAGGGGGAGGGAAGGGAGTGTTTCCATTCACCAAAGAGAGTGAACTTGACTTGGTGTACACCTTTCTGCTCTCGTGAACACTGTCATCAGTGCAGCTTCTTGTGTAACACAAAGCAACAAGAGCCTCCTAAAACATCCATCTCCACAAAAGCCAAAAAAAGGGAAAGTTCAGTTAGGTGAGCTGAACCAGATGCAAGAACATGAGTGTAAGGACGTGGTCCAGCTTTGAGACTCCTTGGTCCCAGCAGTACCAGCCCAGGCTGCGATGCAGGCTAAAGAGGCTTGAAATCTGCCGCAGCTGCAAAGAGGATCCTCATGCTACCACACATACACCATGAGGGACGCAGGGCGGTGGCAGCACCCAGATACATTTTCAAACAGGGCAACCTGACTTGAATGTACTTCACAGAATTTGACATTTTAGTTTCTGGCCATTATATCTGCACTGCAGCGTTTCACCCTGGGCTGCAGCCAGGGGTGCAAACTTGCCTCGTTTCCCCTTGCGCAGCAAATTTGACAGGTCAGCGGTCAGAACAAGGGTTACAGCTAATGTATGGCAGCTAAACCAAGCTGCAATATTTCAGGATGAAGGTTCCCTGGCAGCAGCAGCTGCAGATGACATTACTTAAATGCAGGTCACTTCACAGGTACAGGTTTTATAACTTTCTGAGTAAAATTTAAAGCGATACTGGTAGTGTTGTTAAGGTTCCTGTGCTGACTCATTTGAAAAATTGGTTTTAATTGAGGACACCCCCAGCCCTCCCCTGTATGTTTTAAACTTCCAGGTTTGTAGCTATCTTCCAGGCTTTGCAGCCACTGACTATGCAGCAGCCACCGGTGTGAGGTCCTGTGGCTCACACTGTCGCAAACCAGGGATGCCGTTAGGGCTTGCCCAGCTGTGCACGGCATTGGGATGCAGCACTTTGCGTGTGTGACGGCACCGCTTCGCTCAAAGCTCATGTGCTGGCCCTGACTGGAGAGGACGGAGGGACTGCTGTCCTTCCATCCCACAGGTGATAAGGCACACATGGCCATATTTATCCACCATCTACATGTAAATCAGGATGCCCCTAGCCCAGGCAATATGATATAAGTGCACAGCACCAAGAGCTTCTGTAGCTTTCATTACCACCCGCCAGACATTTCTTACATGGGCTTTTTCCTGTAGTGCCTGGTCTATTTTACTGCTAAATCATCATCACACACACATAGTCAGTAGGTATTGTACAGCTCAGAAAAAAATGGATTGATATAGAAAATATTTAATAGTCATAAATATTTAAATACTAAATGGGTGCTGGTGAGAACTGTCACTTTAGAAGAAGTCAGCCCAGAGATATGCTCAAAGATAATGGATGCTTCAAGTAAAAAATCAACTTCTGACTGTTTTCAACTGCTGTTCATTGTATAAAGAATCATTTTTTCTTAAGAGACCAGGGACATTTTTAACATATGCTAGAAGGCTGAAAAACTAGCTGTGCTCCTAGTGGGCATGTCAGCAATGAATACTAGATTGAGGAAACCAAAGGGAAATAGGAAAGATGGCAAAAAATTTCACAGAAGATTTACAGTGAGTCCCAAATGGGGAACTTTCCAGGGACAGAGAGGCAAAAAAACATTCCCGTTCATCTGACCTGGAATAAATGTTACAAGGCTGCCACCATATGGCAGCCAGCGGTGTGTTTTTTTTTTTTTTTTTTTTCTTCCTAGAGATTTCAACAGAAAATACTGCTGGTCAGGCTTCTTCCTTTACTTCTGGAAATCAGTGGTAAAAGTATCACAGGCTTCACCCTTTAAATAGTAAAATCCTGGCCTTTCCTAACTGTGCCTTGTGTAATCGTGTTTGGTCTCACAAAACATGGCTAAATCTTTACAGATCAAGCTGATATCGTGTGTAAATGATCCTATATTTTAAAGCACATTAAATAAGTGTATAAATAATATTATATATATGTATATATA